TATTGAGTCTGTCATCAAAGTAAACACCAAAGCCCAAGTCATGAGAGTTCTAGAAATTTTAGAATCATAAGCTCTTCCATTTTTTATTGCTAAAAACAGTAAGCATTCATTTGTCTAGTCATCATACTTCACATGTTTTGCGTTTTCCGAAGATGAGTGAATTTTTGTATGTAAATTAAACATTGATAGAATCACATTTGGTAGAAATCTGGGATGCTTTCTGGAATGCTCATGAATTTTTGTATATGAATTAAATGCCGTCTATACATGGGCTACAGTCTTATGTCATTTCAAAAAAGCCATACTGGCCTTTAAACATAAAATGAATAATGGCTCAACAATTCAGTGAAATACATTTTCTAATGAAAAATTTTCACCTCACTTAATGAAACATGGATAAGTGAAATTTAGTTGTATTCATTAAAGATTTGGAGGTATGAGATGTATGTATATCTCTCTCATCCATTCATTGTTCAAACTTCCAACTCTCTTGTAGACTTCATGGTCCCTGAAAGGGACTGCTCCTTTCATGCCAACCCAACTCTAAAATTAAGCCTCTTTCTCTGGATCACATTATCCTGTTGTAATCATCTTCTCTCTCTGGTAGTGATTCAAAAATAGGACTTTAAGATTTCTATCTACCATGCTCTTGTGAGACTGTTAATTCTACTTCTGTGTAGTCAGAAACTTAAGAGCAGTTGGAGAAATCTTGGCAAAATGAGAATCCTTTTGTGCAATAAAGTCATCTAATCCTGAAATGACCTGTATATAGTAGATGTGGTTATTTCCTTCATCATTCCAAAACTTAGTAGAGAAAATTACCACTGAGGAATCAGGATATGAATAAAGCTGACAATGTCAGGGTCTCTTGGACAAGTGTTTCTTTGTGTGGTGGGCTGAGATTTCCCTCCACTCTTTATTCTGTTCCGTGTTTCCAAACTGGGTACAAATAAGCATATATTACCCTTATAAAAAAATAAAATGCCTTATAAAGAAAGGAAAATGAAAGTTATGTGTACTAGAGACATTTGGAAAGTATAGAAAATTAGAAAGAAAAAAGTGCTAGTGATTTAAATGTAAACATGACCTTTGTAAACTTTTTGGTACATTTATTTCTAGTCTTTCACGTGTAAATAGCTGAAAATTTGTACGTAGTATAATCATTTCTCACTCTTTTTTTCATCATAAAAAATTGAGAAGCCAGTACTCCTATCTTGGTAGAGTATAAAATTTCTCCTTTCATCCTCACCTCTTCCTGTGCTGCCTTCTCCCCGTCTTGAGCTGCAGATTCTGACACATGCGCATTACTTAGAAAGCCCCATTTGGTTAACAGATATCACTGTGAAAAGCAAGAACAGAAAAAGAAAAACTGTTATTTCCCCTCTTCTTGTTAGCGCATACCTCATTAATACTACCCTGTTTTTTTATAGAATAGTTCAGTCTACACATTAATATATTTATTCATTCACCAAATATTTAAGTACCCTCTAAACGCCATTCATTTTACTCTTCAGTAAAGCATGCAAAGACAGTAAAAGAATCTCTGCTCCTTAGGAGAACATGGATGCAGACATAGGAAAAAGAGCAATATGATCAGTGATGTGCAGACCAGGTTCTGTAAGACCACAAAGGAGAATGGCCTGGGTCTTAGCGATCCAAGTGATTCTCTTAGAGAAACCAAGGAAAGCTTTTTTTCAGATCAGAAAATAGAGCTCAGAGAGATTTGATCACAGTTGGTTAGGGGTTGAGTTAGCATTAAAATCAGATGTGACTGCAAAACATCTGTTCTTTCCACCAACTGTGTCATAGGAAGATAGCCCTGTTTTCATTGTGTAATAAGCTCCAGATTTCTGTGTTTGGGGAGATTTCCTAAGGCAAGACCCAGAGCTTTCCCCTTTTTCTCTTGCCATATCAAAATGCTTCCAATTTTTTATTTGATCAAAGAATAATAGAAAAGAAGTAGGGAGACCTGAGATCTCTAGACCAGCTTTACCTCTGTTTAATTGGGTGATCATGATCCTCTTTTCTATGCCTTCATTCCCCATCTGTAAAAGCAAGGAGGTTGAGAGAAATCTCTCTAAGCCTCTGATTTTTTTTTTTTTTTTTAAGAAGTAACGTGTCATGGTTTGCTCCTTATCAAAGTTTGTGGCATTTCCATAGGTGTGTGGTTTCTCAAGTGCCTTAGAAAGTCTCGACACACCATGGCTCTGGCAGTGGAATGGGTGCCGGTCAAGAGTAAGGGCTCCTGCTGCCTAGTTTCAAGTCTCCACCCTGCCACATGCTGTTTAATCTTGAGCAAGCCACTTAGCCCCATTGAGTCGCAGTTTTTTCATTTGTAAACTAGAAATAATAAATGACTGTTTTACAGACTAATATGAAGATTCAGTGAGCTTATATATCTAAACACTTTGCACAATGTCTGGCACGTAGTACTCAATAAATGTAGCTAACAATACTGGTAGTGTTGTACTAGTACTAATCTGGAGTCCTAAAGCAGTTTAAGAAGCCAGAATACAACAGTAGCTTCTTTTACTAGTGATTCCTTTATAAAGGCACAAAGGAATCAATATATACTTGTGTAGAATATGGAATTTTACTTGTTATCCCCTCAGATTTTCAATTAAGAGATCAGAGGGGTTGGAGTACAGTTTGCTGCTAAACTCCTGATGACCTGGGAAAGACTTCCCTTAGTCTTAAACAATATAGGAGGAATTATTTCTTCTTTTCCTTGCTGAATTCCCAGTGCTCAGGACAGGCTGTAGCACAGGGCTTTACAAGTGTTTTTTTGAGTGAATGATTTTACACTTTGTATTCAAGAACTGAAAAGAATAATAGCATTTGGCAGTGAGCCTTTTGGAACTCAGATCTTAGCCTATAACATTTGTTGAATTTGTTTTGAGGGGATTTGGGGATGTCCCATGACAATCAAAGCAGAATTCTTCTGATATCAATGTTTGACTTTTTGCTTTGATCGGTAGGCTTATTATTTGCCCTTGAACCTCTGTGTTGCTAGAGAATCACAGACATTTCTCAGGTTGATTTACATAGCAATAAATAATCTGTGCTGTCTATTGCTTATTCCATCAGTGTCTGCCCTGTTCATAAAACCCTGGCGGCTCAGTGGCCCCAAGGCTGGAGCACAGTGGACCTGTTAACTCCGGTTAACAGACGTGTATACATAGAACATGCCGTTCAAGTACATTGTTGCTTTATTGCTCTAATATGTATCCATGATTTATTTTTAAAACTCAACGTAACTATAAAAATTAGTTTCCATTCTAGTTACTGTCTCATTTTTTACTTCTGTTATATTCTAGGCACTATACATATTACCTCATCTAATCTTTATGACATCTAAGTTAGGCAATGATACTCTTTTAATGCAATTGGAAACTGAAACTCAAGGTGAAACTTGTTTTTTGAAATCACATAGCTTGTGAGCCATGGAGCTGAGATTTGAAGTCAAGTCTTTTTGACTACAAAGCTCTTAGCCAATGTACCGTGACATTATCCTCATCTAAAGTGCTATCTTTTGCTTCTCCAATTATTTTGTGTGTAAATTAGTACCCTGTTACAAAGATCCAAAAGTTTGCCATACCATTCAGATTAATTTTAAATCTCTTAACAGCATTGCAAATAACCTGAAATTTATAGTGACAAACATAGCCAGATTACTTTCTTGTTATCCATCCATTTAGCAATTTACAGTTTCCATTAATTTTAATCTGTCCTTATTACCTGTTTTATATAATAAATATCTCTTAGTCATGACAGACTCACTGAGTATAGATCACCTGAAGTAGGCTCTCTTTCAATAAGCAGAGTTGCAGCTCAAGATTTGTGAATTAATTGGGAAAATTGCAAATCAGGTAGTCGGTGAAATAATTCATTGTCACATCCAATCAATAAACTTTGTAAATCAACTCATTTAATTCAAAAAATGATCTATATAGATCAAGCAACCAATTAGACAATTAGCATACACTTTGCAATTAATTAATTTAAGCATCAATCATATAATTAAAACTTCAAATTTAAGCTGCAGAATTTAGGATTCTACCACCTTGTGAACTATTAGGTTTGTGCTTCTGAAGCTAACAGACTTGCAGTGTCCCAATTTAGCTTTGGAGCCAGGTTTCTTAAAGTGTTTATGTTGATTTCAATTTAAATTGTCTATATGTTGGTATAGTTTCCCAGATCAACTTTTTACTTCCTGCAAACAGGGAGAAGGGGGTGTGTGCTGATTTTAAACTGGGCAAGGCTGGACTCTGGGAGTACTGGTTGGTCATTCTAGGGAAGTGGGGAATGTCCAAAAGTAGTCAAGAGGACCAGGTGTCTGTGTCAGGAGAAATCAAGTTATTTGCTTTTCCTCTGCTAAGAGTCCATGGTGTTTGGAGTTAGATCCTGCCAAGTGAATTAGTTACTCTTTAGAGAAGGGAGAACTGTCTGGATGGTCTTGAGCACTTCTGATCTGGAGCACGAACATTTTCTTAATTCTAACCATAAATCAGAGGCCTCTGACTCCCCCCCCAATTAATTTTTTTGCCCTTTATAGTTTTGTTTGCATCTCTTTTATGATACTTATTTTATTTACATTTGTACGTAGCTAGCGTGTTATGTATTACTTCCCCCCCCCCTTCTATAGGGCTGATGCTATATCTCGCCTTTGATCTGAGGGTTGGGTTCTGTAAGTTTCCTATAGGGCTGATGCTATATCTCGCCTTTGATCTGAGGGTTGGGTTCTGTGTCTCATCTACAACAGGTTCTCCATAAATGTTGAAATAATGGAGTGGTATAAAGTCCTTTATTTTGCCTTTTCTCCCCTTTGTACTGCCATGTGTTTTTTATCAAATGAATTAGGACTTGGAGTTTCTAACATTATCACCAGGCTTGGGGTAAAGAACAGCAGTGTTCCCAAGTTGCTTGCTGTATACAACTCTCTGAGTGTCTTGACCCTTCCCTACCTCATTATCCACTCACTTTGTTACTTTTCCTTTCAGTGACAATGTCAGTGCCTACTGCCTGCATATTGCTGAGGATGACGGGGAGGTGGACACGGATTTCCCCCCACTGGATTCCAATGAACCCATTCATAAGTTTGGCTTCAGTACTTTGGCCCTGGTTGAAAAGTATTCATCTCCTGGTCTGACATCCAAAGAGTCACTTTTTGTTCGAATGTGAGTACTGACTGACTCCATTATTTATCTCAGTATCTCATCCCTACCTTTTAGCATTTGGGATCTGATTTTGGTTTTGTTCATCAAGTGAATGATACTTGCCATCTGGAGAGTTCACTGGTAATAATGATAACTTCCAGAGAGAGGTCGAGGGCAGCATTTGGATTGTATTTCATGCCTCTGCACCCCAGCTACATACAGACTGCTTTGCAGTGGCACATTGTATAAGGTAGATCTTTGAACATCATGTCTTGAACCAAGACTTCTAGAAACACTGGCACACTTGGAGTTTGTGAAGCAAAACTTCTGTATTTGCCACCTATTCTGCAAGAAATGCAAACTAAATGAAGATTTGTGTTGCAACAACTTCTCTCTTGTGACTTAAAATACTTTTCTTGGCTGGGCTCGGTGGCTCAACCTGTAATCTGCACTTTGGGAGGCCGAGGTGAGTGAATTGACTGAGCCCGCGGGTTCGAGACCCACCTGGGCAACTTGGTGAGACCTCATCTCTACAATAAATAAAATATTAGCCGGGTGTGGTAGCACGCGCCTGTAGTTCCAGCTACTTGGAAGGCTGAGGCTGAAGGATCGCTGGAGCCCAGCAGGTCAAGGCTGCAGTAGCCTGGAGCGGCCACTGCACTCCAGTCTGGGTGACAGAGTGAGACTCCAACTCAAAAAAAAAGAAAGAAAAAAAAATACTTTTCTTTCCAGCTTTGTTACTTCAAATTGATTTTTCCTCAGTTGCCTTCCTTTAGACTGAGCAGGCGCTCTTAACCTTTTTTGTACCTTTGGCAGTCTGGCAAAGCCTATGAAAGCCCTTCTCAGAAAAGTGTGTGTATAAATGCATAAAACAAAATTTTCTGGAATAGAAGAGAATTTGGTTATTTAAAGTTACCAAATTATTAAACAAATTTGTGATATTGTAATATGGATGGCTTTACTAATAGATTAAATGACAAGATCCAGCTATAGATCTAACAACTCAAAGTGGTGATAAGCATAAATGCTATCTGAGAAATCTACAACAACTGTAACATCGTGCTGTGGGGTTAGCTATGATTTCTGTTCATGACAGAGTCACTGACATTGCTAATACTAAACCTGACTTGCTACTTACATTTATAATTCAAGGAAATACAAAATATCAGAAATTAGTGAAAGTAAAAATGTGGTTTTTGTCCACTCAAGTCTATAGAGCTCCTACGTTTTGTCCACATGTCTCAGTTGTTAGAGGAAAACATGCAGTATGTAGGCTTCCCTGGAACCTGAGCTTTCTAACCTAGGCCTCAGCAGTCCCTCTTCTAGCCATCTCCTGGGAACATTAGCGATCCCTTTGGCACCCCCTGCTGTTAGGAACCAGCAAATTCACTAGCTAAAAGAGGGATTGCTTTATGGGACTTTTTCCCCTCTTTAAAACATGTTGCCTTTGAGATTTTTATAGAAAACAGGGTTATGCTATATATGATATAGGAGTATTTTAGGTCTTTCTACCCTTGAGCAAAGAAAGAATTCCTGAGTGCCTGGGGTGAACTGTGGAGTGACTCCTCAATTTTTTATAATGGCCTTTTCACCCTCTCTATGAGATCAAATTTGGTGTCAGTAACAGCGACTTTTCTCCTGCTTTTTCATTTCAGAGGCCCTGTAAAACAACTTTCAAGAATATTTAACCTAATTTAAAAGTTAGCCAATGATTCCTCCATCCTAATATAACTATTTTTATTTTATATAATCATTTCCATGTGCCTATATTATATAATTTCACTTCTAACTTGCATATATATTTTTTTTGTTCTGTTTATTTACCATTATATTATAAACAGTTGAATATTTGCCCTTAACTTCTATATTTATTATGTGCTAGGGATCTAGACAGAAAATCCTACCCTCACAGAGCTTAGAGCTTAGTGGGGAGGCAGCTGTCAAACAAATATTAAAATGTGATCAGCAACATAGAAGGAAAGTACAGGAGTACAACAAAAACCTACTACGGAATATTTAGATTGTTTCCTTGTTTGGTGTGAATAAAGTACTTCCACAATTATTGTTGTTATCTATATCCCTTTTATTTCCGTTAATAACTTCCTTAGGACCATTTCCTGTAAGTAGGGTTATTGGTCAGAGATTAGAAACATCTTTAGATTCTCACTATTTATTGACAAATAGTCATCTGAAAGATGTACCAGTTTATGATACTACCAGCAGAATTCATAAAATCATTTTTTTGTCTTACCATTACAGGGTGTTGTTATTAGAAGTTTTTCTCTACTTTAAAAAATGTATACAGTGGCATTTCAGTAATTTTTACTTGCATTTTTATTAATTTTTGTTTTGAGTTGGAGTCTCACTCTGTCATCCAGGTTGGAGTACAGTGGCATGATCTTGGCTTACCACAGCCTCAACCTCTTAGACTCAGGCGATCTTTCTACCTCAGCCTCCCAAGTAGCTGGGACTATAGGCACATACCACCACACCAAGCTAAGCTTTTGAGTTTATTTATAGAGACGAGGTCTCTGTGTTGCCCAGGCTGGTCTCAAGCAGTCCTCCCACCTCAGCCTCTTGAAGTACTGGGATTATAGGCATAAGCCACTGCACCCAGCTTTATAGGTTGTTAGTATAATGACAAGAAGAATTTTTTCTACATGACTGTTAACACATGACCATAGAAGTCTTTTGAATTGAAAGTCCTTTACAAAGCAAGAGCCTTTAAATCGATGATTTTCATAGGGTAGCATGGGGCTGGGATGAATATACCTTTCCAGGGTGAGGCATCCAAGACTGCACAGCATCTCACTATGAACCCTGCCTTCTGGAGAGTGAGTGGAGGGGGAAGGCAGGGAGTAACAATAACTGCTTTAAAGTTAATACTCTCTTTTTTTCTCCCGAATTATGCCCATTCCTGCACTCCAACTTCTAAACACACATATACCCCAATCAATCCTTTTTCTATTTTAAAGTTCAGGAGGGTTTATTAGACATGTCTGGAGTGTTTCTGAAAACACAAGGTAAAGTGAAATCTTTATATGTGAGTATTTAGAACAAAAGTGTCAATAAATTTTCTGTCTTTTCTTTTTCTCAGTTGTCTGATGAAATAGTACAGATTACTGACCATTTGCCCTGTGCATTTTTTCTTGGTTCAGCAATCTCCTATTTATCTGTCTAGTCTATATTCTAAGTTAGTAAAGCTTCTACAGACTTTCAGGAGTCTCCTGGGGTGTTTCTAAAGTTGCAGAGGGGGAGATCCCAGCAAAATAAGTAAAGCCATAACTCCTCTTCATTTCCCCCTTTCCTCCTCACATCTGACTCCCAGTAGAGGAGGAACAGGAAGTAGCTGGGAAGACTCTGAACTGAAACAGAAAGAGAGAAATAGGTTTAACAGTAGAGAGTAAATAATATTTACTAAGGGCCAACTATGTATATGCTATTTCATTTAACCTCAAAATAGCCCAGTTTTTATGATGACCAATTTAGAGATGTGCAAACTGAGGCTGAGCAATATTGTTCTCAGGCCTTGGTTTAATGACCTCAAGCCTGACTTTAAAGTTCATGCCCTTTCCATCATCCTGCTAAGAGATTGAACCTGAGGAGTCTAGTGTTGATTTAATCAGTTGAGTGAATCTCACTGCCTTTTTTTTTTTAATTAAAAAAATTTTTTTTATTTTAAAGGTGTGGGTACAATTCAGTATTAGGTATACAAATGTTCATTATGCAGGTACCCTTGTTGATGAGGTGTGCCCCCTCCACCCCCGGCAGATTCCCACTACTGCCAATCCTGCTCCCCTTCCCCTGGCAGTTTCCCACTACTGCCAATCCTTTTCTTATAGTATTACAATAATTGTTCAAGGTCTGCTTATGAGTGACAACATGTGATACTCAGTTCTTTGTTTCTGTGATAGATCACTCAGTATTATAGACTCTGAGTCCCTCCAAGTTGCTGTGAAGTTCATAATTTTGTCCTTTATGGCTGTGTAATATCCCATTATGTATATGTACCACATTTTTTAAATCCAGTTCTCTTTTGATGGGCAGCATGGTTGGTTCCATGTTCTTGCTATTGTAAACAATGCTGCAATAGACATATGTGTGCAAGTATCTTTTTCATAGAGTGATTTGAGTTCCTCCGGGTATATTCCCAGTAGGGGGATTGCGGGGGTCATATGGAAGGTCAATTTTTAGATCTTTTAGGAATTGCCAAACTGTTTTCTACAGAGATTGTAGTTCACATTCCCACCAACAGTTTAGAAATGTTTCCCTTTTCCCTGCATCCTCTCCAGCATCTGTTGTTTTTTGAGTTATTGATGATAACCTTCCTGACTTGAGTTAGGTGGTATCTCAGCGTGGTTTTAATTTGCATTTCTTTGATGACTAGTGAGGCTGAGCATTTTTTCATGTATCTCTTGGCTGCTCATATTTCTTCTTTTGAGAAGTTGCTATCCATATTTTTTGCCCACTTTGTAATGGGGCTGTTTGTTTTTTGTTTGTTTTTTTTGGCGTGTTTTAGTTCCTTGTAGATCCTAGATGTTAGGTCTTTGTCAGACATACAGTTGGCAAATATTTTTTCCCAGTCTGTGGGCTGTCTTTCTGCTCTCTTGATGGTTTCTTTGGCTTTGCAGAGAACCTTGTCAGTTTGATGAGGTCCCACTTGTCTATCTTATCTCTTATGGCAGGGACACTTGGGATTTTGATCAGGAATTTGTTGCTAGTTCCAATTTCCACAAGAATGTCTCCTGCATTTCTGAGGTTCTTATAGTTTGAGGTTTTACATTTGAATCTCGCTGTCTTAAGGCCAACATTCAGCCACTACTACAGTACAGGGTAAGACTATGGTGGATTCTGGAGCCAGACTGCTTGGGTGCCAGTCCTGAACTTGTTCTTACTAATATATATGATCCTGGATGAATTATTTAACTTCTCTGTGGCTCAGTTAAATGGAGATAATAATAATACCTACCTCACAGATCAGTTATGAGGATTGAATGAGTTAATAGCTGTAAAGCACTTAG